TACGCCTAGGATTCTCTATTGTGGTTATTTCTTGTGAACTAGATTTACTGTTTCCTTGTGATCAAAAGTGCTTTAGTTGATTTGCTTGTCGTACTCTTGTATTTATTGTCATTGTTGTTGTTGTACTTGTTGTTGTGATGCACGAGGTTTCTGCTGTGCGGTTGTTGTTATTATAATGCACAAGGTTTCCGCCGTGCGATTGTTATTGGGTTGAGTTAGAAGAAATCTCAAAAAATGAAGTGTCCAGAGGGATTACAACTGATTCTGAAATTAAAGATGAAGAACCAGAAGCCTAATCAGGATCAGAACCAGAACCAGAGCCGGAGATAAAATCAAATGCAGAACCAAATCTGGAGTCAGGACTTGAATCAAATTTGGGATCAGTTACTCTTGAACCTACATTAAGGAGATCTAAAAGAGTTTACGAATGCTCTAGATAGGTTAACTCTCCCTCTCTCTCTTCACTATTTACTTCCGATTGATGTTGGAGAACTAGAGCATTTTGTTGAAGCAATACAGGTGATAGACTCTGAAAAGTTGAAGTTAGCCATGTAAGAAAAGATGAATTCTCTTCAAAAGAATAAAATATGAATACTTACAGAGTTACCAAAAGGAAAAAAGGTATTGCAGAACAAGTGGGTGTACATAGTCAAGAAAGGGCATGATGCTAAGAAGAGATACAAAGCATGATTAGTAGTAAAAGGCTTTCAGTAGAAGAAGGAATTGACTACCGAGATCTTCTCTCCTGTAGTCAAATTAATTACTATCAGGTTGGTGTTAACTATTGTAGCTGCAGAAAATTTGCATTTGGAGCAGCTAGATATTAAAACTGCTTTCTTGCATGGTGACCTTGAAGAAGACATCTACATGAAGCAACCTCAAGGTTTTCAAGTTTCTGGTTAAGAAAACCTTGTGTGTAAGTTGAAGAAGAGTTTGTATGGTTTGGAACAAGCTCCACGACAATGGTTCAATAAATTTGATGGATTCATGCATAACAATAGTTTCACATATTGTGAGATGGACCATTGTTGTTATATCAAAAATCTTGAAAAATCCCATATCATTTTACTGTTGTACGTTGATGATATGTTAATTGGAGGATCTAGCATAAATGAGATCAACATGGTTAAGCAACAACTGGTGGAGGAGTTTGAAATGAAAGATTTGGGACCAGCTAAGGAAATGCTTGGGATGAGGATTAGCAGAAACAGGTCTGAAGGAACCTTAAAATTATCTCAAGAAAAGAACATACAAAAGGTACTAAGTAGGTTCAGTCTTCATGATGCAAAGACCAGAAGCACTCCACTCGGAAACCATCTTAATCTATCAAAGAACCAATCACCTAAGACAGATGAAGAAAGGAAGTACATGTCCAAAGTTCCATATGCTTCAACAGTAGAAAGTTTGATGTATGCTTTGGTTTGCACTAGACCTAACATAGCCCATGCAGTTGGAGTTGTCAGTATATACATGTCAGATCCTGGAAATGAGCATTTGGAAAGTGTAAAATGGATATTGTGATATCTCAAATGCACCTCAGGTATGACACTTTGTTTTAAAGAGAACAATACTATCTTACAAAGTTTTGTTGATACAAATTTATGCGGCAATCTGGATAGTCGAAAAAGTACCACAGGCTACGTATTCACATTGGGTGGTACTGCTGTTAGCTGGATATCCAGACTTGAGAAAAATGTTGCTCTATCTACCACATAAGCAGAGTACACGGCAATTTAAAAAGATAGAAAAGAGATGATCTGGCTCAAGAACTTTCGTAAAGATCTAGGTAAAGAGCAGAACCATTGTGAGCTTTTCAGCGATAGCCAGAGTGCAATTCATCTTGCCAAGAATCGAGTATTTCATGAAAGATCAAAGCACATCCTATTGAGGTATCATCATATCCGAGAGTTGATAAGTAAAGGAACTCTTTCCCTGTAGAAGATACGAGGATCAAAGAACCCGTCAGACATGTTGACCAAAGTTGTCGCTGTTGACAAACTGAGGCTGTGCATTGCCTCAGTTAGAAGACTGATAGCGTGAAGGCGTCACTTAGCAAATCTTTTTTTTGTTGATGTAACATAGGTTTGAGGGGGAGATTGATAGAGCAAACCCATTATTGTATGTGAAAAAAAGAAAAGTAGACAAAATAAAAGAAAGAAAACTCAAAGAGAGAAGAAAAATGATAGGCGGAAGAATTCATCTTTGAATTCTTTTCTTATGACGTAAGCGCTTACGTCGGCAGGTTGAATTCATTTCTTATGATGTAAGTGCTTACGTCGGCAGGACATTCAAATGCCTATCTGCATTTTCATTTGTAGATCATCCCTCAGCTTGTTCTTTCTCTTCAATTAATAAAAAGCTATTCTTTTTCTGACCGTGGAGTAGGTAAAAATTGCCGAACCACATAAATCTCGTCTTGTGCAATTTATTATTTTTTTCTTTTAAATATGTTTTCCCTTCTATTAGCCTGACACGCTTCCCAACAGAAATAAATATACAAACTAGCAATAATATGGTTGCAGGGTTCCCATTATATAAGAGGGTAACCGTTTGTTAATGAATATACAAGAGGTTTATCCGTGATTGAATTATTTAGTTTTTCATTTTTTTTCCTCCGTAAGGAAATTATATGACGTAATGCCAGGGGAGCTTGGAAAGAGCGATGAAAATGAGAAATATTTGGCAAGTGGAAATATGGGTCCCACTTGTCTCCATCCCTTTCTCAATTCCCTCTCTCATATTTTTACCAATATTACGGGATGACAAAATGAAAATGCAGTCAACTTTTCTCCTCTATCTTCTACTCCTTTTCTAAAATGAACAGAACAGGTGGATTTTTAGGGTCGTTTGTTCGTGTATGCTTGTCCAAATTCAAGAGTCTAAAAAGAAGATTGGCTGAATTTTTTTTTCCTGTATTATAAAATAGAAAAATGATGGGCAAAATATTTTTGCGGAAGAATCATTGAGTTTTTGAGATATATATGCTTTCTAGTTCCTTTGTAATTGTTCGGATCAATAGTTTGGTTGAAGCTTATTAATCTGACATCTCACTGGTGTGCAGTGATGTAAACTCAACTTCACATTTATCATTTAATTTTAGTATTGTTGCTTGGATACAACTTTGAATATCTTTAGGTTTGAAGACCTTTTCTTTTGTGATGATATGGGATTCTAGGTTTGAAATTTTTACGTGTATTTTATTTTTTGCAATAATTGAAAATTGTTGGATTCTTAGTGGCATATGCTAAATTTGAATCGTTGTTTGAGTTGAAAGTGTTAATTAAAATATTTGATGGTTGGATTCTACGAGACTGCCTTGGAGAAGGAGAGGAACGAAATGCATTTGACTCAAAATTAAAGAGATAATGCAATTTAGTAAAAGTTGAAAGAAGAAAAAGGACTGAATATCACTGCTGAGAGAAATTAAACAGCAGCATAAGTAGGTAATGTAGGACCCACTCTTCAGTAAAATTAGGTAAAAAAGATGAGAAATGAGATGGTGAAATGGAAACAGGTAGTGTCAGAGAGATAAAAGGAGAGAGCTGACATGTGGGACTCACATTTCCACGTGTCAAATAGGCAGAGATGTCTCATACAAATTTTGTTGGTTGAATCTCATTGAAAATAAAATTTCTCGATGAAAATGGTAGTGGAGGGATGGACCACTTATGAGATTTAACACATTGTTTGAAGAACAAATCGTATAAAATTGACTGTCCCTTGTGTTACTCAGTTCTTTTACCCAGTCTTTTAGGAATTGAATGGATACTATTCTTACACTAGTTATTAGCTGAATTAACGCTCATTCTCTTGTTTTCACAGTATACGCCCAGCCTACATAAACACTTATTTTATCAGATTTCACCCTTTTTCGTGTCTTTTGTGATCTACATATTTTTAACTCCTCTGCTTTCTACTGTATTTGCTGTAGTTGTAACATTTGTAACTGCCTTCTGTTTTGTCTAGTTTAACTTTTCTATCACACGAACAAACGTTGTTTCTTCTTTAATAGCGAGAGTAATCGCCCTCGTCTCTGGTTTTGTAAGTTCGGTGTTGACTATAGACCACAGCCTCCTTTAAGAGCTATTAATTTTTTCTTGCTCCCTGAGAAAATGATTGCAGGCGTCGTCCCTGCTCGTCAAAGGATTTATCGTTGTGAAGGTGTTAGTGATTTTAGAGTTATTTACGGTCCAGTTGATGGTTTATTCCTATTAGAGAAAGGACATTTTCTACTTAATGTTCGCTTTTGTTGGTATAAACAGACAAAATCCGACTGAGCAGGATAATGTTGAATATTTCTTCACCGAGTTTTAGACATTAATTCTTAGTCATGTATTTGTGGCCCACGTTTCTCCTATTCATTTTTTTTAAATTACTTCTAGACTTAGTTGCCTTGTTAGATTATTGTGACACATGTGTTACAAAACGAGTTCAATAAAGCTAGTTAGTAGTTCAGTTTGTTCTCTGGAAGAAAGATTTGGTGTTGTATATTCGTGCTCTATATGAAATATATGTGTGAAGTTGTTTTTTCTCTAATTTAGCAAATTATATGTAAGATTTTGTAAGCCTTCTGTAGAAGCGCCAAGTGAACATCAAAGTTAAAACTACACTTGCTTCGCCTAGTGTGTTAGATGCATTATGCATCATTCTAATTCCACACAATCCCCCGTTCAAATGAATCTTTAGTTGGAGAAGATGTTAAATTTTTTCCTTCCAATTGAAGATTATATTATAATTTTTATCCGAAACAGTATAACTTTCCTTTCGAGTTTTCATTTTCTCAAATTAAATTCATTCAAAATTAGGATCATGGATTGATAGGTGCACCCTCTATGAATATTATAAGGAGTCGCATGTCATTAGGACTTGAAAATCGATACTTGCAACTTGATCCTATTATTTTTGCACGTCAACTTGAGGCTTTCGTCTTAATTAAACTCAAACGCATAACGTTTAAATCTTGATTCTAAGGATGAAAGGAGAAAAGAAGCAGTTAATTAATGGATCAGAAACAAAGATTTACTAAGCTTCAACCATATTTTCGTAATTTTAAAACGGATTTGGGATAGTGTAGTTAGAGTCCTTTAGCACCACATTATATTCATAGAAAAAAACTGGTATAGCACTTCTTCAAATCCTTGCTAAGAATTCCACTTGTCCTTCAAATCCTACAGTCAATAGAAGAAAAAGGTAATTAGCTACAAGGCAAACATCCATAGAATATAATATATAATTTTTACGATGATATTGATAACTAGCGAATCCAAATTTTAAAAATCTGGTGACAACCTCTATGGGAAAAGAATTGTGGAGTTTATTTGAAAGAAATTAGCAACATGAAAAGTGAAAACACATACTTCAACATATTTAGATGGTCTAACATGGTGAATATATGTCCAGCCCAACTTGGACGAGTTGTATTTTTATGGGCTAAAGTAATGTGAGAGATCTAATTAAATAGAATAATAGCTAGCAGGAGAAGAAAGTAAAGTTACTTGGAGCAATCAACTGTAGGGTTGATGGGTATTTTGGTAGTAAGTTTGCAGAGGGTAGGGAGTTGTGCTGCTTTATCAACGTTTATAGGGAAAGCTTGTGCAGCAGACTTCAGGCAGCCGCATATAGCTTGACGGTCCGGCTGAGACGCCGCGGCTTCTTTGTCAAGAGCTTGTGCTCCACTGCAACAAGCAACACTAGGGTACAACTCTCCGCTCATTAAGAAATTTTGGCATGGGATTATCTTCAATATCACATCACTGCATTGAACGTCTGCTTTTGCAAAACCTAAAACCAAACTAACTCCCATCAAAATGAGTGCTAATAAAGTGTAGCTGGGAAGGTTTCTTGACATCTTTCTTCAACTTTAGGAAGCTAATTAGGTGAAATTATGTGTTTTTTTTTTTTGTGAATGAGAAATGGTTATGAACGGATGTCAATTTATACTGCTCTAAGATATGGTCAATTTTGTCATTTCCTCCTCCATCCAACAAGCAATATATAGGATCTTCCCTTTTTTATCCTCGAATAATTGTTTTTCTTCTTAATAATTTTTGAAGGTATGACTTTATATAGTATCATCTTTTCAGAGAAGAAAGCATCCAAGTGTAGACAATTTCCAAAAAAGTTTCATTGAAATTGGTTAAAGGTTAAAATCATCTTAATATAGGAGTTTTCAATAGAGTGAACGATTTGATTATCATCATAAGAAAAAGGAAAAGAGCAAAGAAAACAAAATGATCTTCGTTAAACACAAATTATTGATCTTTACTATATCTTGTATGTAAAAAGCAAAATCATCTTAATATAGGTGCAATTTCAACGTGAACTAATTCTGCGGATTATACTAATTACATAAAAAGAGCAGGGTGGGGAGGGGGGGAGAAGATTTAAAATAAATGGATTAGCTATGCTAGCAAGCTTCACTACAAAAAAAAAAGCTAAATTTGTGGCGGTTTTATTGCGGCGGTTCTTATAACCTCCACAATCTATAACAAATTGTGGGGGTTAATTTACCCCCGCAAATATATTAAATTTGCGGCGGTCGATAACCTCCGCAACCATTAAAAAAATAGGGCCCACTAACCCCAATCTTTCCCTCATTTTTTAATCCTTTCCCGCTCTTTTTTTCCCAAACCCCTTTTCATTTTCCCTTTTTTCATTTTCAGAAACCCTCACTTAATCACTTAATCAAAAATAGCCAAACCCCTAACTCACAAAATCGCTTCTTCTCATATGGGCTTTCTTCTAATCTGCAGATGCCAAAAAATGGAAGCTGTAAAACTTCAGATCAACACAGATTTTGAATGATTAGGGTAAACAACCACGAAAACGAACAGGAAAATAGTATAGTCTCAAAGGGAAGCCGAAATCTTCTAATCTTCTTCACTTAATCTGCTGCCGAATTCTCTACAGGTAGCTGTAAAACTTAATCTCTTCCATTTCTTCTTCACTTAATCTCTTCCATTTCTTCTTCATTCCCTCCGATTTCAAGCCCGTGTAGCTCTCTGCTTTTCTTCAGCGCTCCTCTTTCTTCAGTGCCTCCTCTGTTGCAAAATGAAAGAGATATGAAAAAAAACTTCAGATCTATCAATCAATTGGATGTAAGTTTATTTAATTTTGCTCTTTCATACAAATTCCTCTTCGATTTTGCTTTGATTTTTCTCTTTCATTCTTTGATTCTGCTTTTGTCTTTCTTTCTTCATGCATGTGGGTTTTAAGTTTGTTTTCTCTGTTAATTTGGTAGAATCGGTGTATTTTGAATCGGTATAAATGTGGTAGAATCCGCAGAAATTTAGTAGAATCGGTGTATTTTGAAGAAGGATATGTAAGTCCTCTTTCTCCTTTTGCATTAGGTTCTAAAATTTAGGTTTTTTGTGTATTTTGAGGTTAATTTTTGTGATTGATGTCTCAATTGAAATATTTCCTTTTGCATGTGTATTTTAGAACTCCTGAGGACCTACTGAGAAGACACAATTATCGCCGGCTGCTTTTACTCTTTCTGCTCTACTCTGTGTTTGAATCAGTCTCCAGGTACATTTTTTGTTTTTCTACAGGTTCTGGCCCCAACTCCATCTACAACATAAAATAACAAATTTAAAGCAATTATGTCTCAACAAGTGGAAGTCAATTGCATAAATTTGCATTGTTCATATTGCCTCATTTTATTAAATTCAATCTTAATCTCTTACACAATACATACTAAAATGAAACATAAGAATAATTTGCTACTTGCGATATCCTAAAAGTTTTGGTAACTTATTCGAGAAAAGATAAGTTCAGATTGAGGCATAGTTACTTGTCAAAAAGAATGTTTTGAATTGAGGCATAGTTGATTGATTGAATTATTGACTGGGTCAACTGTTATGTTTTACTGATTTAAGTAGAAGGCATCCATCATTTAGGACAAATGGATTGATTATTGGCAACAGGGTTTTGCCTAAGGTCAACTGCAAAGGGATTGAACTAGTAGTGTAGAGCTTAAAATCTTGCTCTATAAATTGCCTGTTGAAGGTATCGAAACTACTGCTTACTGAATAACTGTATTTTTATGATTCAAGTAAAATATAAAATGGTTCATAATGGTTATAATAGAAAAAGATTCGAAGTCATCTTTGAAGTTTGGATATTGATTGCATCTGACTGAGTGGTCTGGATGAAAGACAATTTATATGGTCAACCTTATTAGTTGGGGAATGAGGCATAGTTATAAACAAATTAAATTCGGAATGAGGCGTAGTTACTTATCAAAAATAAAGTGTTTGAAATCGAGACATAATCGATTGATTGATTAATTGACTGAACAAACTGCCATGTTTTGTTGATGTCAGTAGAAGGCGCCCCTCATTTGACTAAGAACGTGATTATTGGCAACATGGTTCTTGCTTAAGTCAACTTCAAAGGGATTGAACCAGTATTGTGGAACCTAAAATCTTGCTCTATAGACTGCACGTCCTGTTTAAATTCCCCCCTTTTTCTTGATAGAATTATATAAGTTTGGTGGATTGCAGATAGAGCATTCAGAATGTTAAAAAGTAAAAAACAGTTTCAGATGCCTATATTCAGAATATGATCAACCAACCCCTGCATTAAAGAATGACTATGTTTGCCTAACATATAATTAATTTGTGCTATGAGAGAATGATTACATAGCAATATTTTTATGTGCCATTTTTTATTATCTTACAAAATTTTATAATGTTATTGCGTTGATAGGTTACTAAATCATCCTTTCTCATGGAAATATTGTAGGTTACAATACCTTCCAATGGACGTGTGTCTACGCAACATTGGACTGTAGATGCAATAGGTATGCTAAGCTTCTTGTTTTGATGGGGTTTGGTTTTGATTTTCCGTGATATTTCCCTTGTTGAAACTGTTTTCGCCGACTTGATCATCAACCTTAACAGAATTCTTGTCTTTACTGGGCTGCTACTTTTTATCTACTGATTTAGAACTCAGTTTTAGTGGCTAAGGCTTTACATATGATGGACACACTGAATAATTAAAACTTATTACAACTAAAGCAACTTTGACATGATAGATGGGGCAATGGAAAAGACAGCTCCTTTAAAGTGAAGCGGAATTGGAATTATTGCAAACTTATATGGCTCAGTCAGAAACTTATATCATCCATATAGACATAAAGCTTTTTCTAGCCATCAAAATTGGTACTTGGCCATTCTTGCTAGAAGTTATCAAAAATTCTCCAGGTTGTCTTTCTTCAACTAAGGACATGACAGTTAAAATTGACACGACACGCATTTAACATACATTGGCTGTTCTTTTTCTTTTAATTCTGACATACTGATTCAGCTCGTGAATTGGTCATGGTTTGTTTCCAAAAACCTGATTGATTGTTATAAGATTGAAAGTGCTTTCCTGCTGTTTTCAAGATAGTTCTTCCCTGAAAGGAATAGAGGGACGAAAGATTCTTATGTATCTGTGGTATCTCACACTGTTTTTATCTTTTAAGATTCGCAAGGAGCTAGCAAGATACTTAAAGTGAAGAAAAGGGACGTGTTAAATTTATCTAATGGAGAACGCATTGTGGTTGAACTGCAATAATTTTATCTATAATGTGGCCTATGTTGTATTTAAAAATCGATGCTCATATCAAGAGTGTGAATAACAGACTTGGCATTTTAGATGACTTGGCATTTTAGATGTTGATTGAAGTAAGGACACTGACTTTTGGTGTGTAATGTATTTAGAAAAAATTGAAGTAGCATTGATCCAAAGCACCATGGATGAGTCTGAAATTTTACCAAATGATGTTGTTGGTAAGGTGTTGGGAAAAGAGCACTCTGGAAGGGTAAGGTATTTAGGATTAGGAGTTGTTCTTAGCAGAGCTTTTAAACAAACAAGACCTCGTTATAGTGATTTGAATGCTTCAAGTTACAATAATGGTTCATGTTCTTCCCAATGCCAAGAGAAGTACAATCAAATGTTGAATGCTCACAATCAAAGCCAGGAGAACTACAGAGAAATGATGAATGTTAAAACTCAAATGATGAATGCTTTTAAGGCGTATATGATAATGAAAGAAGGGACGATACCTGAAGAATTTAAAGGTATATTTGTTCCTCCTCCTCGCTCAACAATAAGAATAGTTCATAACTTTCTTATTTAATTTTGTAAAGTATGATTGTTCAGTCCAAGTATTATTAGTTATAAGATCTTCAAGTTGTCCACAACGGTCATTTGACTTGGTTATAAGATCTTCAAGTTGTCCACAACGGTCATTTGAACACCTCAACATACCTATTTATCAAGTAGACACTTCAAGTGTCTGTTAAGTAAATCAAATAGACACCCTGGTACAGCATACCAGATGCGTGAGTTATACTTGCTAAATGAGCCAATCAATGAACGACACGTATAATTTGTAATTAAAACTTAACACAAATTAACCAAAAAAAAACAAAATAAATTTAAAATGAAAAAACCCTTCCCCAGCGTCTCTTTCTCCTCCTACCCCCCCCCCCCCACCTCCAACTTCATCTTACCTCAAAACTCATACTTCTATATTTATAAAAGTTGTGGAAATTCCGAATCGACCCATTTATCAAAATTTTCGGGAAATTCGAAGGGGTATTGCTATTTGAGCCACTAACTTTAGAGCTAGAAAAACAGCTGGATCTTGCCGACAGACATATTGAAGCAATGACTCCCAGTTTTTTTTTTTGAATAATCAAGATACACTCTGGATCACAAGTGTTTGAAAACTTCAAAGTTAATTTTTTTTGCACCAACAGAAAATACTACTCTTGATTGGAAGCTCACTTAAGCTTGACAATCCAACCCATCTTATCCTCTGCGAGTCCCATTTGTAGACTAGTAAGTGCAGAGTATAATTGTTGCGACACAAGACCAACCCCGTTATTTCCATATGTTACCCTTTTCCCTTGATGACTAATGCTACCCACAGGAGATAC